CTCTCAAAGAACCCACATGGTCCTTTTTCTTTTTCCTTGACAGTGCTTTTTAACAATGCTTTGGATTTCTATATTGTTTTAGTGGATTGATACATAATCCCATGGTTTTTCCAATGTTCACAAGTGTTAACACTATTCTGCCACTCTGTTTTAGAGTAATTTGAAGTGAAGAATCAATATAGACTTAGCGATAGAGACCTTCAGGGAGTGAGGTGGCTGTTTCAATGGGGAGAGTTCTTTGATCCTAAGGTCTTCAGCATTGTGAAAGTTAGGCAAGTGACTTTTGTAAACAGTTGTAAACAGGGTTAGGAAGAGCCTGCGTGGGAAGTGGGATGAAAGGGTGGCACAGTTGGACAAGAGAGTAGAAAGTCCTTTACCCTGAGCCAAGTCTCTTCACGAGAGAGAGTGTAGCTAGCTCAAGTTAGGATGGGTCAGAGGTCAGGGCCTTGAAACAAGGAGAAAAGTTTATTCAGTTTGATTAAATGTTTTGTTTTTATTTATCAATGAGGGCAGGTAGCTCAGCTAATCATTTATGAAGCAAAGAAAGAGAATTTGGAGGGTCTGCTCAGGCCTGTGTCTTTGAGAGTCTTTTCTGTCATATGGGGGAGTGATTTTTGTTGTTGTCTTGTATTTCCTTTGTAGTAAGTGCATTACAACTAAAAAGGCTGCGGAGTTGGGATTTTAAAGTTTTCTTTTGTGGGTATGCATGTGCCCACATGTCTGTCTGTCATCTATCTATCTATCTATCTATCTATCTATCTATCTATCTATCTACCTATCCATCATCTGTCTGTCTGTCTATCTATCTATCTATCTATCTATCTATCTATCTATCTATCTATTATCTATCTATCCACCTTCATCATCATCATATGTCTATCATTTATCAATTATCTATCTATCTATCTATCTATCTATCTATCTATCTATCTATCTACCTATCCACCTTCATCATCATCATATGTCTATCATCTATCAATTATCTATCTACCATCTATCATCTATCTGTCTGTCTGTTTGCCTACCTACCTACTTACCTATTTATGTGTGCTTACCTGAGTTCACATGTACTACAGTGCATGTCTATGCACATGGAGCCAGAAGAGGAGGCTGGATCCCCTGAAACTGGAGTGCTGCTGATGTGGGTGCTGGGGCTTAATCCAGGTCTGCTGAAGAACAGCATTTGCTCTTAATTGCTGAGCCACCTCTCCAGTATTGCACCTTGTTTTGAGAAATGGTCTTCCATTGAATCTGAAGCTCACTGACTGGCTGGTCAGCAAATCCCATGGGCCTTGTGTCTCTACCTCCCTAGAATTTTTACATAGGTACTGGGGATAAAAACTTATGTCCTCATCCCTACATGGCCATTTTTTTTAAAGCTTTCACCATTTCCTAGTATCACAAGTTTCAAATAAAATCTATAATGTCAGTAATAACCACTTGAATCAGTTAGAATTTGTAGATGGAGCGGTGGTCTGCTTCCCGCTGCCTGGGAGGGCTCCTGGCCACCGGCTAGCTTTACTTGAAATAATTACATGGAAACTGTATTATTTTAAACACTGCTCGGCCCATTAGCTCTAGCCTCTTACTAGCTACTCTCACATGTTGATTAACCCATTTCTAATAATCTGTGTAGCACCACGAGGTGGTGGCTCACTGGGAAGAATCTTAACCTGCGTCCATCTTGGAGAGGAGAGCTATAGTGTCTGCCTCACTGCCTTCTTTCTCCCAGCATTCTGTTCTGTCTACTTGGCCTATCTAAATCCTGCCCTATGAAAGGGCCCAGGCAGTTTCTTTATTAACCAATGAAAGTAACACATAAACAGATGACCCTCCTCCATCAAGACTAGACGAGGATGTCTTCAATAAAGGTACTTTTTGCTCTTATGTAGCTAGTAACATAGATCTGCAGCATGGATATGGATTCATCATGCCAGTGGCTATGAATCTTCTCTGCTGTTTCTTAATTGTTTGCTTTTCGGTCTCAGAAGAGATAGAACAGATCCAATTATCATGTCCCCATTGGAAGCAAGGAGAGAACATTGCTTGGAAGTTCTCCTTCACAGGAGACTAGAAAAGTTACCAGCCATTCATATTCTCAGGAGAGCTCAACCAGCAAGGAAGAACATGGATGTATACCATATCAACAAGACCTTGTTCCTGCTGGCTATTGTATTCCATGCGTGATATTGGATAACTCACTTCCACTTACATAACCTTTCAGTATCTGAAGTGTAAGAAATGGTCATGGAAATGGAGCGCTACACACCCAGTATATTTTGCCATAAATGAGGACTGTGAGCCATTTTTTTAGAAGTAGTTGTGGGAGGCTTCTGGAGAAGCCAAGCATGTCTTACATAAGCATATATGGAACTATTTATCACAGTGTTTGTAAGCTTGGGAAAATATCCAAAAAAATTTCAAATGATTTGTGAATCTAATTTTTAAAAGGCCCCATATATTGTTAATATAAATTCTGTTTAAGTAAAGCTAAGCATTGTGTTTTTCTACATGAAATTGTAAGACAGTGATACTTAATCCCAGGGAGCTGTTTCTTCACTGCTTCTGAGAGTACACCCTGCTGCATAAGCTTTATAAATATTTAAAAGGAGTGCAGACAACCTTTGAATATCAATGTTCGCATCCTAGCACTCATCTCTGAGAAAATGTCCCTAGTGGAAAAATGAACTGGGATTTTGAACTGCGTGTTTTATGATTTTTTTTGGAAATACTTACTTCTATAAAATTTTCTAAAGCAGAAATGTATTTGGTGAAGAATTGTTTCATGTGAACTTTCCATAGTCTCAATATACTAATAAGTCTGAGGTAAGAATACCACCTTTTAGTACCATTTTATAATCCATTTGCTCACTTAGACAAATATCTGTTCCCTTTAAAGAAATACCATCAAATATTATTGGCAGATACTTATAAATTATGAGGTGCATGTCTCTCATTAATTAGTTCTTTATAATGTCTCCAGGCTTTCTACAACAAATATGGATTGTTTTCATAATGATTAAAATTCACCTTATCTTTTAAAGGATGGAATAGAACTGGGTATGTTTGCTATATCCATTTAGAAACCGTGAACAAGAAAGCGCTTTGATGCAGGAACTTGGGCGAGGTTGTGGAGCTCAGCAAAAGAATGTGGGACTGAGAGATTAGGAAGGGGAACCTCAACAGTCTTGTTCCTCTGGAGTGCTGGCCATTCTCTGTCCTGCTGTGATGGGAGGGACTAAAGGAAGTCACCACAATAGTTCATTCTTCTATGTCCATGCAAACTGTAGGTCATTCTATTTTTTCTCTTTGACTTTCTGGTCCTCTTCTGTGATACAGATAGAATCAGGGTCATGGAGGAATGTAATTGCATTCAGGAACAGAAAGGACCTATTCTAAGAACACAGTGTGGTCTTAATTTTTGTAGATATCTATAGCAAATCATGGAAAACTCCTTGATCATTACCTTAACATGTAAGAACCCTGTTTTGGGTGAGCATATATAGAAATAAGACCTCTATTATTGTGGGATATTTATATACTGTGTGAAGACATTGTGTTGTGATTGGTTTAATAAAGAGTTGAACAATCAACAGCTAGGCAGGAGGTGTAGGTGGAATTTCTGGGCAAAGAGAGGAAGTAGGAGGAGATAATCAAGGCACAGGAGAGGTACAGGAGACACGGAGGACACAGGATGGGCATGGGTGGTAGGTGGCAGCTAGGGCCACTCCCTCACCTACCATGTCCAGCAATGGCTGGTGGAGTTCTCCTTGCTGATTTGTTTTCTTCTCCTTATCTTTCCTGTTGAAATTGGAGCGGCGGGGCTGCGTCCCCAGCACCCCAGCCACCTGCTAGCTTATGCCCCGAAATAAAAACACACAAATTGTATTCATTTAAACACTGTTTGCCCATTATATCTAGCCTCTTCTTGGCTAACTCTCGCATCTGGACTAGCCCATTTCTAATAATGTGTGTAAGTACCCCAAGGTGCGCTTACTGGGAAGATTCTAGCCTACGTCCATCCTGGGTCGGAGCTTCATAGTGTGTGCCTCAGAGTGCAGAGCTATCGCATCTACCCGGGAAAGCTGAGCATGGTGTCTCTGCTCCAGAGAGCAGAGCTGTCGGGTCTGAGCTCACTTCCTCTTCCTCCCAGCATCCTATTCTGTTTACTCCTCCCACCTATGTTTTAACCTATCAGGGCCAAGGAGTTTCTTTATTGCTTAACCAATGAAATCAACAGATTGATATATGACACTCCCACACTTTCCAGCAACAATTCCTATTGGCTCTACCTTTGTGGCATCCCCACTATTTCTGTTATCTCCCCGATTTTAGTTGCCATTTATTACGTGGATTAGTGCACTGAGTGTTAAGGCCATCTCTGTTTGCCTATGGCACTGTTCTCTACCAATACTACCTACCAATCTTTTAAAACTTAATTAGGTCTGGTCATTCCTAATCTATCCCTAGTCATTCTTTTCTGTCCATGCCTCAGTCCACAAAGATCTTTAGTTCTCCAGAGTGATGACAATCAAAGCTTCACTATGTTTTTCCAGGTTCTTTGGTGTTTTGACTCTACAGTCTGTCTACCTGCAGTTCCTACCACACAGGGTCCAGACTTCTCTCTTTAAACATGTCTTTCTTAATCTCCCAATTACTGGTCCTTCTGACATTTATAATATAATATTCTGATAAGTCTTGGGGGGACAGTTCCTGTTTACCTGTTGACATAGACCCCCCCCAGAAAAAAATACAATTTATTAGGTAACTCATCTTATTTGCTAGTTAGATCATCTGGCCAATGCTTCCCACTACCCACTCCACCAGTATCTACAGCTGTATAGAAGATACATGAGATCGGGGGTCCTGCCTGCTTTTATACTGTGGTCCCCACAACCCCAGAGGAAGTCAATGGTTGAACTCCAGCCCCAGCTGTTTTTCATGCACGTGAGATCTCAGCTCTGGTATCAAACAGATTGCCCCCCCTTCTGTTTCCATAGCCAACTGGACTCTATGAGTATAAAGTGTTCGGTGTTCTGGAAGGTTGTCCACCAGCTCTACTTGCAGATGTTTACATGGACTTAGACTACAGGAAAAAGTGGGACCAGTATGTGAAAGGTGAGTCATGGGTTGCTTAAAAAATAATCCCTAGAAAGTTAGTGTATGCTTGGCTAATTTAGTCTTGTATACTCAAGACTGAAACCTATCTCGCCATTTCCAGTACTTACGCTGTCCCTGTTTGAGAGTGGGTCTCCCTTTTGTCCTCATGGTTGCTTTGCTCTGCTTCCTGAGCTGTGTTAACTCATGTGCATTGGTTGCCGTGGAAGCCTCTTTGGAAGAATGGGTATCCAGACTTTCTTTTGGAAGATGGATCAAAGACCTCTGAATAAGCGAGGGTACACATGTGTGAGGAGGTGAGGGAGTGGGAGCCTGAGGGACTCGGGGACACTAGGGCGGGAATGCACAAAGCAGCCTGCTCAGAAGCCATCGGCAGTTGGTGGTGTTGGATGGAGATGCCCCGCCCATCTATGCTGAGAAGGCTTCATGACCTGTGGCAGGGAGAGAGAATCCACAGCCTACATAGAGTTGGAAGGCGTTAAACAGGGAGCCTCCTGCATCTTAGAAGGGGAGTGTCCTCTGCTATCTCAGACTCTGGGGAAGAAACTTGTAGTCAGCCAAGGGCAAGTGGAGTCTTTAGTCAAGGCTTCTGCAGGTACCAAAGAAGCAGCCCAGCTCCGTATTTTAAATAGAAGAATATATTGTTCACGGCGGGGAAAGATCCAGGAGTTTCTAGGTTCTAGGAATGCCGCTTTGAGCCCTTCAATAGTCCCGTCAGGGTGTTTCTTCATCTCTAGACTGTTCCCCTGTGATGACCTACTGCTCAGGCAGATTCCTGTTCCTTGTGAAAGTGTCCTCCAGATGACACAGGCTCAGACTCTGACCATGCACATAACTCTAGGGAAGAGAGTCACATCTTCTTAACAAAGTCAGCCGGAGTCCCAGGGCTCAGTCTCTACAGTTCATCTCAGAGTGACCGCTTAGTCTGTGAATGCTCATTTGCCATCCGGCACCTTCATGTTTTCATAGAGCTTTTATCATTAGGGGCCATCAGGACACTTGTCTCTCCAAGCGAGCAGACTGCCACTGTTTCCCTCTTCCCAGCAGCCATATGCTGTCATGTGATAGGGACTTTGCCATAGATGCTCATGTGGGTTCCAGCTGGAATAGAACAGTGTGAGGAAGCCAACAGTCCACAATCCCCTTTGCGCATGTCAGCTCACACACCTAACTTTAAACCGAAAAGTAGCTGCAGAGCCTTTTCAGTTTCATTCCATCAGCTCTTCACACTGTGGTTTCTGGTACAGTGGCTTACTGTTAGCTTTGCTAGAACCACCTGAAACTCCTTGCTTCTCTGCCCCTGGGTTTTAGGAGTACCCGAGAGCCGTGTGACTCTCACTGAGCCTAAAGTTACTGTCGAAATAAACTGAAGCCCTGGTCACCTGATCATCCTGGTTGTGGCTTGCTCCTTTGCCTAGCCCTGAGATTGACAGTTTTCCTACTTAAACCTCATAGTAGAGACGGGCAGGCAGGTCCGTGTGTGTGTGTGTGTGTGTGTGTGTGTGTGTGTGTGTGTGTGTGTGAGAGAGAGAGAGAGAGAGAGAGAGAGAGAGAGAGAGAGAGAGAGAGAGAATACTGAACAGGTAGAGGCAACAGACTTCTTTTCCCTTCTTGACTGTCTTCAGTGTCCTGTGACACTGAGGGGCCACAAAGCTCCTCAACCAATAGTCTTTTAAATGCTAATTGTCCCCTCCACTGCCATGCATCTCCTGCAAGGATGCCTTGATCCTTCTCTGGACGGTTAGATGAGAGCCCCCCACACAACCCTCTGCATATGTGTGCTCTCCGTTCCCTTTGCTATCTCCTCCAAGAGCTGCAGTCTGCACATCCTGACACAAGAGCACAGGCATTAAGGAGTTTAGTTACTGAAGCCGTGGCTGTTGTAGAGAAAGGAAAGAAACAAGAAACCCAGGGTTCAGCCACTTTCTGGCTGTTTAAGGACACAGCCGTCTATTAGTCCTTTCTTTCCCAAATGCCGTGAACCTAAACACACAAGACCCTGTGACTTCCTTGGTCTCTGGCTAACTGTAGGGAAGCAAACCTTGATTGTGCGTGTGTGTGTGTGTGTGTGTGTGTGTGTGTGTGTGTGTCTTGGGGGGGGGGTTCAAAAGCAAAACTCCTGGTGCTCTACTGACATCTGGTGGTTTACCTGCTTTAAAGCCACTGATTATTCCTTGATACCCAGTTCTTTGCATTCTATCCCAGCATGCCGTTGGTACAACGGACAAGCGTCGGGCTTATTTAGGTTTTCCATGTTCCTCAGTCCTCTAGAGCATGCCTGAGCAGCAAGCTTTCAGTAATAGTAAATATACTTTTGTTTCTAAAACAAAACTAAAACCAGTTCTACGTCTGGCGAGTTAGAGTCTTAGCACACAGTGAGCCACAGAATTTTCCGGATGCACTGACTTCCTGTGCCCTCCTTCAGAGCTCTACGAAAAGGAGTGTGATGGACAGACAGTGGCCTACTGGGAGGTGAAGTACCCTTTCCCGTTGTCCAACAGAGATGTATCCTTTCTGCTCAGCACTTTGTTCTTCGGCTGTCTCAGGGTCCTGTGGTTCCCAGGCACCAACCTCACACTGGGGTCCACTAATGTCAAGGCTGCTGTGGACAACGCTGTCTTGGATTCTTGTGGAAGCATCTGCTAACGTTGCAGCTGCTTGTGTGACTTTTAGAGACGTCAGAGTGTGATTTTCATAGGATGGTAACCACACATAGGGTCACTGGAAGGTACCTAACCCTTTCTAAAGAAAGTGTCCAAAGATGGAAGTTGATGAGCCCTGGAATTGGATCCAAGAGGAACAGTTTATGGAGAGTGTTGGTCCAGACCCTTTGATCTTTCAGAGGAGAAGGCGGGGCCCACAAAAGTGGGATGGCAGATTGGTTGAGAGAGGCCTCACCCCTCACTCTCTCTGTTTCTAGCTTTCTCTCTCCAGCGTGGTCCTCTTGACTGCTGTTTTTTGACACTAAGTGCCTTTCCTCTCCATTTCTTTGTCATAAAGTAAAGCAGTCGACTAAACAGTAGGAGTTTTTCTTAGCATATTGATTACTGGTTTCTGTGACGAGTATTACAAGTTCCTGACAACACTATCTGAGGGCAGTGGAGGTGGAAAAGGATATGTGTGGATGAAGACGCCATTCCGTATGCTACCTTAAAAATAAAGACAGGATGCACACACACCGGAGTTTAAAGATGCCATTGTGTTATAGAAGGGTGCTGTCGACCTTGGTAATGTTCTGTGCATGCTCTTAGCGGTGAAGAAACTTGGCTGTTCTCGGTGAACCAGTGTTACCCAAATATAACATCTGCCTACTAAAACTTGAGGTAACCACGTGACTTCCCATGGTTTTAGCTGTGACACAGACACCTTCAATGCCTAGAGGTCTGTGATTACAGCAATGGATGAGGACAAAGCCAGGATTGATACAATTTCTATCCAGTGCTATTTCTGTGCTTGGATTTCTCTAATGTTCCCAACGTTCCTGCCTGAGGACCAATAGCGCTTCCTTTTCCCAGATGGAGAAACGGAGTCTGAAAGCATTTGGTTAGCTTCCCCATGATTACAGCTACCTGAACAATGCTCTCTGTGTGCCTTCTTAGAGAAAGGAGGAATGTGCTCTAACTGGGAGCTCAAGGGATCACCCACAGGTAGGTGATGGTACTCTCTAAGTGAGAACTATGGATAGATGTGAAGTTCAGTTTTGCAGAGGAAAGAGGCAGTGAGCGAGGTCTCACTAGAAGGAAGCAGATGCTAGGCGCAAGGCACAGAGTGACTTTCCATCGCCGCTACCGTGGGCTGCTTTCCCCATACTGGTGTTGTGCCTTGACTGGCTGTGCAGTATGTCTATACCCGCCAGCGGCGAGACCTGGATGTGGACAGGAGGAAGATCTACGTGGTCCTGGCCCAGAGCATCTCGGTGCCTCAGTTTCCGGAGAAGTCTGGGGTAATCCGAGTGAAGCAGTACAAGCAGAGTCTGGCGATTGAGAGCGATGGCAAGAAGGGGAGCAGAGGTAAAGTCTGGGGTGCGGGTGAGCAGCTAGCCAGGGCCACTTGAAGTCTGGGGAGGTAGGAGGCAGGTTAGGTACAAAAGTTTGTTTATTGGGGTTAACTGTGGCCTGGGAACAAAGTAGACTGGAGGTCAGCACCTGGGGAGAGTCTTAATTCACACCTCAATTGGCTAGGGCTTGACACAAGTGTTTCAATCTGACCCAGTGCATGCATTTTTTTTTATTTATTTGTCTTATTATTTCACACATATGAGTGTTTTGCCTGAACGTGTTTCATGCCTAGCATCCGTGGAGGTCAGAAGGCATCAGATCCCCCGGGACTGACAGATGATTGTGAGCCATCATGTGGGTGCTGGAAATTGACCCAGGATCCTCTGTGAGAGGAAGAAGAGCTGTCACGTGGTGAGCCAGCTCTCCAGTCCTACATGTTACTCATGCCTTCTTTATCGACCAGGTGAAAGCAGAACACTGAGAGAAGACCCTAGCGTTTCAAGAGAGTTACTTCAGGTTTGTCCTGTGGCTGTAGGGCCTGGGCCTGGAGAGGGCCAGTGGATTGGCAGGTGTTCATTGGAAGATACGGCTCTGCTCAGCATAAGGCCAGAGCCTCGGGAACATTGAGCTCCAGTCCCCCAAAAGGAAAGCATGGGCATCCACCTTCCACCGTACTGGCATGAGTGTGGTCTGTGTCAGGCAAAAATCCGAGCTGTAACTCTGGTGCTTGTTAGGTCTGTCCTGAGTCTGTGTTTCCTCACTGCAGGAGCCGGGTTAATTGTCAGCTCCTTGGGGGGGCTGTTTGGATAATGAAATAAGAGATGGCATCCAAGTGTCCAGCTTTTGTCGGACATCTAAGCAGTCGCAGCCAGTTGTCCCCCTGGCTGTATTTTCAACAATGCTTCTGGGTCAGTAGGCACAAGGCGGGTGGGTCGGAACAGTTCACTGGGATCATGTGCTCCCTTCCGCTGTGCTCTCTGGGCCCGAATCTGAAGAGAGAAGGTCAACAGGGCTTCGCTACTGAGATTTTCCCAGTCCTCACCCCCAGCCCTTCTGAATTGTCTGTCCTTTTCCCCTTTTAGTTTTCATGAACTACTTTGATAACCCGGGTGGCCAAATTCCGTCCTGGCTCATTAACTGGGCAGCCAAGGTGAGATCCCAGGAGGCAGGCGGGGATGGGAGGGGTAGGGGGTGAGGGGCAGGGTATGTACGTTTGACAAATGTTGACTTAGCCTGTGGGTTGTCGCGTTGAAGAGACACATTGTCCCAGGGTAATGAGACTCTTTTATGAAGAGCTTGGTTGAGTGACTTGGATAGAGTTGCAGTAGGCAACACCTAGGGTGGAGGCCCTGACAAAGGACAAAGAATCTGTTAGACTGGAATGCCAGCCCTTCCCTGCTGGTGGCCCCAGACCCTCCAAGATCACTCTCTGGAACTTCCAGACAAAAGTCTGCTCCTCGTAGGGACGATGGTGCTTTCGGTACTGCTTAAGGAGGGCAAGACAGGCAGACTTTGCTTAGAGACAGCCCAAAAGAAGCCCCTAGTTCTATTGTCCTTGCTCTTTTTATTTTCAAAGGCCAGAGAAGTGTGCTAGTGGCCCAGGTCACTGGAGACTGCCACTCCTATTCCTGCATCACAGTGACTGTTCAGCAGGCTCTGCACGGGTCCTGGAGGGCACTGAGGAGGCTCAAGGGAAAGAAAGAACGCTTCTAGGCACCAGATGTGATTCTGAATCCGGGCTTTGCTAGGGAAGCTCTGTCTTTCTTCCCTTTTTTTTTTTTAAATCTTTAAAAAGAGAGAGAGAGAGAGAGAGAGAGAGAGAGAGAGAGAGAGAGAGAGAGAGAGAGAGAAAGAATATTGCCTACTGAATGGAGCAGGCAGTGAGACAGTTATGGAAAGTCTTGCACAGTGCTTGACACTAAACAGCTGGGAATCCCACCCTCTAACCCCAAGCACCACTTTCTAATTCAGTAAGGCAAGCCCTTCATTAAGGAAGAATCCAGCAACCTCATCCCAGATCCCGTCTTTTGTTTTGTTTCAGTTTGTTTTTCTTTTCTTTTTTATTTATGTGTGTGTGTGGGGGGGAGGGATGTGTCTGCGTAGGTACCTGCAGGTGCCTGCAGAGTCCAGAAGAGGTGGTGGAGCCCCTGAGGATGGAGTTATAGGTGACTGTGAGCCAGTGACATGGATACTGGGAACTGAACTCACATCCCTTGCAAGAAAAGTATGTGCTTTTAGGCCCTGAGCCATCTCACTAGTCCCCTTTCCTTTCTTTTTAATAAATATTTCAAGAAGGGCTCTGTAGTTTTTATGAGCAAAAGTCAAACTAAAGGCCCTGTCTTTGAAGCATCAGTCTGTCGGGGTCTTGTCTTGTGTCATTTTCTAACCGTATCATGTAGAAATTGGATTAGGGGCTTCTTTTTCTTTTATTACCCTTAAAGCCGTCATTGTTATCTGGTGCCGCATTCCAGAGAATGAAGAATACATAGAAACATATTCTTTTTCTTTGCAGAATGGAGTTCCAAACTTTTTGAAAGACATGGTGAAAGCTTGTCAGAATTACCCCAAGAAAACCTAAGAAGGAGAATGGGACCCCAGCATCCATCTCTGGATGTGCTTCAACGGATGCTCGGCCTTCCCTCCGCTCTTTCTGTCTTCAGAGGTTTACATGTATCCCCAGGCATGCTTGCCTGCTGCCTGGCTCATTTGCCACCTTCTTCCCCACTAGTCCTTTGCAGGGCCGACTACCTTCTTCCGCTGTTGAGTGGGAGGCCTCTGCGTGGGTATCATTAGTTAGGGAAGTCCTCAGCAGGGACGAGGAGCATTTTGTTGTACCATCTCAGGGGAATGAATGAGAGGAGGAAGGATGGCAAAACGTAAGAGTGACCCTTCCTGGCAAGCAGGCTCTCTTCAAAACCCTGTTTTGCAACCCAGGAGTGGCTGCTGGAGGTGGCCTTTGGTCTATGTTTGACCTTCCATGTCCCAACATTGGAGACACAGTGATGTCAGTTTTCTTTATGCTTTGTTGACTTGGATAGGCCGGGATTTGAGGTAACAGGCAGGTGTTTCTACTTGTGCAGGGTCGGTGGCTGCTGTGATATCAGGCCATCATGAGCGTCCCAGGCCTGACTGAGCACATGCTGACATGACCTCATTGCCCTAACTGCCCACTTCTGGATTTTTCCTTTCCCATAAGCCACTAGGAAAATGCTGCCTATACCTCTCTAGCTGTGCATTTCCTGTGAGCCCAAGGCTTCAAGTTCAAAGCTAGCCTGAGCACAGCACTAGGATTGTGTCCTCCTAAGTGGTAGGTGATCTTCCCCTCTGGAACGTTTAGAGATGTTGAAGGGACAAGACTAGTTTACAACCAGGCAAAACTTAAGTAGTGATTTTGTGTGCCCTTTGCCTTTTACTTTCTACCTCTTCAAAGCAAGGACTCTCGGAGCCCTAGTTTTATCCCGAATTCTTGTAGGAAAATATATTCTGTGGCCAAGACACAGTCTTGGTGATCTCAGGGAAAAGGTCCCATCGCTCCGCTGCTCCGTGCAAACCTCGATGAACAGATATGGAAACTCAGTATGCAAAGCCAGAAGAGAGGGGGTTGTTAAGGTGGCGTAGCGGTCCTCACAGTGCGTTCTCGCTGGGAAGGAAGGCGTGTCCTAAGAATAAACACACAGTGACTTATGTTTCTCATGTGTGCTGTTTCCTTCTTACCTCTTTTCTTTGGGAAGAATGAGTTAGTTAGGACTCTTTTGTTTGCACTGACACCTGGCCCAGCTCATAGACCTTAAAAGAGAAAGAATGAAAATTTGAGGCTGCAGAGATTGACTTGGCTATTTACAACACCGGCTGCCCTTTCAGAGGACCCTGGATCGGGTTTAGGTTCCCAGCACACACAAGGCAACACATCATCTGCTACTTCCGTTCCAGGGGCTCTGACTCCCTCTTCTGGCGTCCACAGGCACTGCAGGCACGCCATGCTCATGGGCTGGCAAAACACCCATTAAATTAAAATCTTTAGGAAGAAAGAATTTATAGCTCACTTACATTCAAGGCCACATATAGTTGACTTCTGGGAGGAACCAGTTCAGGTGCTTCAGTTAAGTTTAAAATACAGCTATACTCTTCAGTTTATCTAAATCTGATGGTAGGGTCACTAGCAAAAGCAATATATAGGTTCACTACAAACATGAAGGAAAGAAGGAAGGAAGGAAGGAAGGAAGGAAGGAAGGAAGGAAGGAAGGAACGAAGGAACGAAGGAAGGAACGAAGGAAGGAACGAAGGAAGGAACGAAGGAAGGAACGAAGGAAGGAACGAAGGAAGGCAGGCTGGCGAAGGCAGACTCTTTGTCAATGAATAGCATTTTCCTGTAATTTAAACTCTATGACATATGCCTATTGATCCTGGATATAAGATTATTCAAGTAAGTGAATGCTTTATAAAATGGCCATTACAATGTCATTATTAATAAGTGACTGGTATTTAATTTTAGGAATGGGGCATCTAATTGTCTTGTATTGTTAGTCTAAGTTGATCCCTGACAACGAGCCTTTAAAATATAAGCATGAATATTAGGTCACAGATTTTGAACAGAGGATTGACATGAAATGGTGTCACTTAAGCCATTTCTAACTTATAGAGATCTGCCTGCCTCTGCCTCCTGAGTGCTGGATTAAAGGTGTGCGCCACCATCCCCTGGCAGCATTTCTTTTCTTGAAGAGTTTTTTAAATGTATATTACTGTTTCCTTCGTATGCTTGTCTATGCATCATTTAAGTATCCAGTGCTTCATGGAAGCCAGAAGAGGGCACTGATGTCTTGGAACTGGAGTTACAGATGGTTGTGAGTTGTCATGTGGGTGCTGGGCATCAAATCCAGATCCTCTGGAAGACAGCCAATGCTTTAACTGCTGAGCTGTCTCTCCAGCTTCATGAAACCATTTTATTTTTGGATGCTAAGAATACCAAATGATTGTATTGTTTGTCTTTTTTTTTTTTTTTTTTTTTTTTTGGACAGAGTCTCTGTGCAGACCGCACATCAAACTCAAAATCCTCCTGCCTCAGTTTCCCAGACCCTGGGATTACAGCCATGAATCCCTGCACCTCCTGTCCTAACACCAAATTTTAGGAAAGGTGCTTCCATAATAAATGGTGAATGTGGGGTGGGAACAATGGCTCAGTGGTTAAGGACAAATACTACTCTTGCAGAGTACCCGAGGTTGGTAGCTAGCTCCCACATCCAGTGGCTCACAAGCTCCAGGAGAGCCAGTGCCTCCAACTTCCACGGGTACCTGCACTCACAAGATAAGAGATAATCTTTGAATTTGAATCAATTCATGTAGTTACAAATGGCTTTTTGGCTTATTTGGAGTAGAGGGCAATCCTGTAGGACATAAAATTACAACATGACGTGTGGGGAAACTCTGAACCTCTTCCACTGTAGTGAAAAAAGGAAGTGCGATTGGTCTTCATGGGAGTGGTTGGTAGTTAGTTCACCGTCTGTCTTTCCCTGGAGGCTGAATGGGTGTCCATCAGGGTTTTAGAGTGGTAAGCATGTCCCCATTCCTCTACATTGCTGGGCTTGTTTTTCACATGCCTGCTTCTCCCAGTAATTGTTTGGATAGAAATAGTTAGTGTCCACTAGTTACTGGCCTCAGGAAAGAACTCCAGAAGTATTCAAAGGAAACCGGTGAACAAATGATTTAGGGAAAAGCTGAACAAATGATGTAAATTCAGAAGACTAAACCCATCTTGACAGAAGGGTTCGTCTCCATTGATTCTGTCCAATTGACTCTCCGAATCAGTGTTTGGGGAGATTCTAGATTCCCTAGGTTCCCACTGGTCCTTCCCCGAAAGTGCCTTAGTCCTGCCCTGGGGAGGGGTGGTTTTGCTGCTCAGCCATATGCAAGTTATAATGTGATGTTTGGAAATGATAGTCTAGACGAGGTGCATCCCAGCTTACCCAGGATTCCACAGAGAAGCCAAAGACTAAAGGTATGCTGCTGTGGTGCTAAATTCTTTCCACAGGCAAATCCTCCCCACTGTATAACAATCCAAACTGAAAGATCACCTTGACACTGACGTCCTGGAGGGGTCATTTCCCTCGCAAATGTTTCACAGCGCGAGCCCCAGACTTTCTGGTTGAGGTTTCCCCCTCAGGACCCACTTCCACAATGCCTGCCCTTAGCACCTCCTGTTTCCCATGAGGATTCGGAAGAGGCAAATCAGGAAGCCACCACCCAGTCAGTTCCAAGAGCTATCTGCAAGAGCATGGAGACACCTGAGTCACTGTGCAGGTCTTTCTTCAAACGCTGGTGTCATCAGGGCCGACGGCAGGCAGGATATTTCCTGGAATGAATGAGTCGGACTAGGGACCTGTCCTCTGCCCTCAAGGAGCCTGTGGTGGGCTGAGGAAGACACAGTGAACAAGCCGCTGAAGAACGGGGACAGAGAGGCTGCTTTCACCCAGGACACGAGGTGTGGTGGAGGGACAAAGGAAACTATCTTGGAATTGGCTGAGAGAAGGAAGAGAAAGAAAAACCATTCTAGATGAAGAGGAATCCACAGGACTGGCATGGCTGGGAGCTGGGGCTCCGCATCCCTGAAGTAACATGCACGCCAGGGGAGAGCCCGAGAGTCACACAAGGAATCAGGATTGGATATCCAAGCCACCGTGGAGATTTGAAGGATTGTAGCTGGAGGAGTGACCTGATAAAATGTATTCATTCCTAATACCTCCCATCTTCCCCATGGCCCCTTGACAACTGTAACCGTGGGATTCCTTTCGTGTGACCGTAGGAGATCCGCCCCCCTCCCCCAAGGTTCTCAAAGCCTTCTTACTTTGTGCGCAGAGTGGTCCATGCTGTGATGGATCTTTTAAGCAGAGCATAGCTCCGCTGTTCACCTGGAAAAAGAAAAGAAGGCAAAGGCAGGCATCCGTGTACATCTTGCCTCTCCCGCCCATGCTGTATGCTGTCATGCCATGCAGCCAGTCCGAGCAAAAGCATTGCACAGTCCAAAAGTGGGAAGGAAAAAGTGTGAGATACTAAAAAAGCAAGTAGTTCCTTCCTTAAAATACTCTGTCACTGTTGGAAGGAATATTTTTTTCTTCCTTTTTTTCTTTGAGAAAACAGAACTATATTGCTTGGCTGGGTCTCATATGGAGGGCTTTACATAAATTATCCATTAACTTGCAGTTTCTGAAGGGCACAGTCCATCATGGCAGGGAAGGTATGGCAGCCAGGAAGCAGGGTGATCGTGTTTCATCTGCACACAGGAGGCAGAGGGAAGGAGGGTAGGGGACAGCCTACAAGACTTTGAAGCCCACCTTGAGTAACACGCTTCGTCCAAGAAGGCTCCACCTCCTAAATGTTTCATAGCCTCCCCGAATAGCACCCCTAACTGTGTTCAGATACAGCAGCCTACAGGGGAAGTCTACAACGTGTCTCTGTGAGTGCATGCATTGGTGCACGTGACCAGCCCCCATCGCTTACTGTAGGAAATGGGGACCAGTCAGGTGCACCATGTCTTCTGGTAAGCCATGGCCCAGGGACAGAGCGTGGTCAGGTAGCATCCATGATGGAATGGCTTCTTCAATTGGGAAACTCATAGTCGACAGAGACACGGAACATGTGCGCGATGATGGGGAGGCATGGGCTCACCACGCTATAAAAGGAAAGTTAAGGCAAGCTTGCCACTCACTGCTGCTTATCCCACAGCATCCCTAACGAAGGCATTCTAGCAGAAGACAGGGAAGGTGTGGGCACGGGACCAAGTGCCGGCCACTGCCAAGAATGCAGTATGTACCTCTCCTCAACGGTGAGGCCTCACTTGTGCCCCACTTCATTGCGTCTGAGAAATGATGAGTCAAAGTTGGAAGTAGAAGATCAAGCATGGCAAACTATCATTGTGGTCCCCGCTTCTACCTCATCTACATCGACCCCAAACAGTTGGGATTTGAGGTGCGGTGCCACCAGGTCAGGCCTAATTTTCAGAATTTTTAAACTTTTACCATGAGTCGTTTAGTGTTTCAAAGCTTTTTCTCTTCCGTTCCCCATCACTGTTATGTGCCTTTTCATTCGAATTCGTCGCCTTTAGGAGATCTATACCAGCAAGAATGGTTGACCCGAGAGAGGGGAGGCATAGAACACAAACAGAGAAGAAAGAGAAAGCCTTGCTACTTGAAGTAACCTGAACGTGAAGAGAAGCACTCTTTCCTGACCCCAGCCGGAAGAAGGTGAGGAGGACGGCACATCTCAGCACCCATCTTCTCGGATCTGTTGTACTCAGTTCCTCTCGAGCAGCTCGTTGACTGAGCAACAGTTGCTGCAATCCAGGCAATAAGAAAATGGTACTGAGAGCTCCCTGCAAGCCATCCAGTGACTTTTGTGTTATGTCAAGCAGCTTCGGAGGGCCCAGACCTGTGTTTCAGTGGTCATGGATTCTGCCTCCCGATGAATGGGGTGTTTCATTTTCCGAGGGAGCCTGAATAACATTCATTAGGAGTCTATATTTCAGGCCAGGTATTGAATGATTATAGGCTCGCTGAAAGCCTCCAAGAAGAGCTTACCCTCCACAACACAGCTTGGCTCACACTCCCATTTCAGCTACTTTAAGCTCTTGTAAACAGCATTCGTTTTCCATTACAAGTTAGGAAATGTGACTACAGGGCGCAACAGTGCCGGGTCCCT